GGGGGGGGGGGGGCAGAGAGCAGCCAGAGTCCGCAACTGCAGGAGGGAGGAGCCGGGCCTGCGAGCATGCAGCGTCAGCCTGAGTGGCAGAGCCGGTGCTGACTGCAGAGGGTATTGATGCAAAGAGGAGCAGCCAAAGGGTGTTTGAGGAGCTCGCCAACAGGAAAGCTGAGCTCCCCTCTCGTCCAAACCTTGGATGAAGGTGCAAAGGATGAGGCTTGAATGGGAGGGGGTAACAAAACGTCAGGTTTTCAGCAAGACCCATCTGGAAGCGGAATGGCTGTTGCTGCCACCCCCTCACCCCTGGTCCCCGAGCTGATCTGGGCAGCACTGAATGTCCTCTGCTGGAGGTTCTGAAGCAGAGGCGGCACAGCCCCTTGCTGGGAAGTTGGTGACGCGGGTCGGGCTGCAGATGGGGCTGGATGCGATGGAAGCCGTGGCCATTCTTTGGGAGCAGGATGGAGAAGCCCAGACCTCAAGGAGAAGAAGTGGGAATGCTGGTGGGTGGGTCCTGGGCCGTGTCCATCAGGGAGGGAGTGGCTATACTGTCTTTGAGAAGTATAAAAACGGCATGAGGTTTCTCTGCCACGAGAGAAGTCAGATGTGCCCTAGCTTGCTTTTCAGGTATTTTTCTCACATTTTTTGCCGTGTTATTACTTTCATGCTCTTCACAAGCTCCCTCCCCGAGCCCTTACACTGCCCTCTGCCCCCCACTTAGGGCCTGAGCCATGGAATTGGCCCTAGGGCAGCAGGAACCTGTTGTTTCAGAAGTCGGTGACCTTTGAGGATGTGGCTGTGTACTTCACCCCGACGGAGTGGGATGGCCTGTCCCCTGCACAAAGGGCTCTGTACAGGGACGTGATGCTGGAGAATTATGGGAATGTGGCCTCCCTGGGTAAGGCCTCCCCTGGACCCAGACTTGTCGGGGTTTCCTGACTTCCCTTACATGTTGCAGGTGGGGTCTCTGGTGAACCCTTTACTGAGTGGGATCTCCAGAGGCTGAGATTCCTAATTCCCTAGACCCAGGGATTGCTGGGAAGGGCAAACCCCAAGCCCTTTTTGGGTCAATATAGGATTTTGCCGGGACTAGTGTGCACTCTTTATGAACCCGATAGAAGCTGTGTTTTAGACAGTGTGGAAAAGCAGCTTACAGCGTTATCTGTAGTTCCCCCTCACCTGCATCTTCGGTCTTTCCAAGGATGTCAGTGCACTCTGAATATCTCAGGCCAAGGTCAAAAACTGGTGTCCCTTTAGGCAGATTCTGTTTGCATGAAGTCCCCTGGGCCCGTGGTCTGGGCCCTTGTCGACTTCTCCCTCACCTCCTCAAGCCCTCTCCTCCCCACCTCACCTCACAGACACCTTGGGGCTCTTACCCCCCACCCCAACTCCCCCCCGTTGCCAAGACAGTTGGAGGAGAGGCTTAGGTATCACCCAGTGGCAGACTATTCACCCTTCTCTCCTATTTCCTTTTCCCCAAAACAGGATTTCCACTTGTCAAACCTGCTGTGATCTCACAACTGGAGGGAGGAGGTGAGCTGGGGGGCCCATCTCCACTGGCTGCTGAAACAGGCACAGACCCTCCAGGCCTCTGGACTGGTAAGGGAAGCACACATTGTCTATTATGCTGGAAAGTTTAACTCTTTAGGAAGAGTTAGCGTGTAAGCATGAGTTAGCATGTTAGCAACATATAACCGTGCCACGCTTATTGGCCAGCTGTACAAAGTAAAATTTAAATAAATTTTGATGATCTATATAGAGATAGATTCAATTACGATCTTTTCTATTTTCACAATTTTCTCTTTCTTTGTACTAAGAACAGATCATTTTCAAATGCCTCATTCTAACTTTTTTTAATCCTAATTTTAGAATTTTACCTTACTTAGAAAAAAAGGAACGGATTAAGTAATTTGGGTGCAGGGAGAGGCTTCTTGCTAGTTTTCTAAATATTGTCTATTTAACACTTTACACAGAACCGGAAAATAGCCCTGTGGTTAGAAGTATAGTTTTGGGGGCAGATTTTCTGAGGTTCAGTCCTAACTGTGCAACTTCCTAGTTGTGTGACTTTGAGCAAGTCCGTTATTTAGTTCTCTGAGAGTCGGTGTTCTCATCCCTGAAAATGAGATAATAATAATAAAAGTAGGTTTTTAGTGCTAGTCTTACAGTTTGAGGATGGAATGAGATAACATGTATCATGTGCCTGGCTAAGAGTGTGTGCTCAATGATACATTAGTTATTTTTGGTTTTTTGGAGGAGACAGCTTTATATAGTAAGCTATAGGGAATAAGGCAATAGGAAGGAAGTGCTGTAATTCATTGCTTCTCAAACCATCTGCAAATGAATTACCTGAGAGTCTTACAAATATGCAGATTGTTATTCAGTAAGTCCGGTGCATTTTTGTTAAGTTTCCAGGTGATGCCGTGTTTTTGGTTCCCAGACCACACTTGAAGTAGTAAGGCTCTCATTGGCTCAAGCAGAGTAGCTGCCAGATGACTTCTCATTTCCCATGAGGCCTAGCTTTACCTCCTGCATTTGGGTTCCATAAGATTCTCTTACATCCCTTCAATGAATCCTCTTTTTTTAAAAGATGGTTTCAGCCAGATGATCTCTGACCAACAAAGACATGTTTTATGTGCCTGCAACCCAGGTACATGCCCTTAACCGGAATCGAACCTGGGACCTTTCAGTCCGCAGACCGACGCTCTATCCACTGAGCCAAACCAGTTTCGGCTGGACATGGAGAGTTTGAAGTGCTTGGCATTTGGGGCGGGGAGGGGGGGGGAGGTGATATTGTGGAGACCCTTAATCAAAGGTGTCTGGAAAAATCTATAGACAGTAGATAGTCCTGAAGTTTTTGAACATCCCATCATGATCTGAGCTAATAGTAGAAACATTGATCTAATCCATGAATATAGTTTTATTGGGGTGAGGACTCAAATGGGTTTTAGGCAAGCAGAAGGGGAAGGTGTAAGGTATAAGACTCATGTCAGCAGAGTTGACTTTCTTTTAAAAATTATTTCCTGATGTCATCCCATACACCAAAAAGGTTGTGGGTTTGATTTCTGGTCAGGGTACATATCTAGGTTGTAGGTTTGATAACTGGGCAACCAATTAATATTTCTCCCTCACATAGATGTTTCTCACTTTTAACCTTTATGTTATTGGTTATTATTGGTTTAGAGACAGGTAGTCTTTTCAAAATCATTACTTTAAAATTATACTATTGGCACATGCTCAAAACAGTAAAAAAGGTATATAAAATGGTGGGGAATTATATTAAACTTCCTGTTATTTTGCTCAGTTTCTTTTGTCTTCTTCCAGAAGTTTTCTAGGCATAGTACAAAAACATATGTCTATGTCTGCCCTTTTTATTTACTTTTACACAAATGGAATCTACTCTACATACCATTTCTCAACTTGTTTTTCTACTTAACAGTATATCTTTATATCTTTTCCTATTAGCACATATGGATTTAACATTTCCTGTTTTATGTTTTTTATACTAGATATTGATACCCAGTCTGACAATAATATGACAAAGGAAATGAACAAAGAAAAACATAATACATCATTTGTACTTCAGGGGGACTTTTCCCAGGAAACAGACTTCTCAGAAGCCTATATTCTAGAAAAACAACAGCAGGAAGTCCACCTAGCAGTAAGTATGAAGAAAGAAAACAGTGTGATTGACGGAACAGTGAAAGATGACGCAAGCCTCATGGAGGAGTGTTTGTTTAGTCAGAGTCTAAACTTGAATCAGTGTAATACCATCACCACCACTGGAGAGGAGCCCCCTGAGTGTACAGGACTGGAGAAATCCTTAAGCTTTGACACAAAACTTATCCATCATGAAATAAGTAATTCCAGGGAAAGACCATTTGAATGTGAAGAATTAGTGGAAACCTTTAAGTATAACTCTCAACTTCATCATCAAAACAGCTACCTTGGGGAGAAGCCCTATCAGTGTAAGGATTGTGGCAAAGCCTTTAGTGTTAATGCAAAATTAATTTGTCATCAAAGACTTCATAGTGGGGAGAAACCCTTCAAGTGTGTGGAGTGTGGGAAAAGCTTCAGTTACAGTTCCCATTACATTACACATCAGACAGTCCACAGTGGGGAGAAGCCCTATCAGTGTAAGGTGTGTGGGAAAGCCTTCAGTGTTAATGGGAGTCTAAGCAGGCATCAGAGAATCCATACAGGAGAGAAGCCTTATCAGTGCAAGGAGTGTGGAAATGGCTTCAGCTGCAGTTCTGCATATATCACACACCAGAGAGTCCACACTGGGGAGAAACCTTATGAGTGTAATGACTGTGGGAAAGCTTTCAATGTTAATGCAAAATTAATTCAACACCAGAGAATCCACACTGGAGAGAAACCTTATCAATGTAATGAGTGTGGGAAAGGTTTCAGGTGCAGTTCCCAGCTTAGGCAGCATCAGAGCATCCACACTGGAGAGAGGCCCTGTCAGTGTAAGGAGTGTGGGAAAGCCTTCAGTAATAATACAAAACTCTCTCAGCATCAGAGAATCCACACTGGTGAGAAGCCTTATGAGTGTACTGAATGTGGAAAAGCCTTTAGTGTCAAAGGGAAGTTAATCCAGCACCAGAGAATCCACACTGGTGAGAAGCCCTATGAGTGTAATGAATGTGGAAAAGCTTTCAGGTGTAACTCCCAGCTTCGACAGCATCTGCGAATCCACACTGGAGAGAAGCCCTATGAGTGTAATGAGTGTGGAAAGGCCTTCAGCGTCAATGCAAAACTAATGCAGCATCAGAGGATTCACACTGGGGAGAAACCCTTTGAATGTAATGAGTGTGGAAAATGCTTTACTTCTAAAAGAAACCTACTTGATCATCACCGAATACATACTGGAGAAAAACCTTATCAATGTAAAGAATGTGGGAAAGCCTTTAGTATCAATGCCAAACTAACTAGGCATCAGAGGATTCACACTGGGGAGAAACCTTTCAAATGTAAGGAATGTGAGAAAGCGTTTAGCTGTAGTTCTGATTATATTGTACATCAGAGAATCCATACTGGAGAAAAACCCTTTCAGTGTAAGGAGTGTGGAAAAGCCTTCCATGTTAATGCCCATTTAATTCGGCATCAGAGAAGCCACACTGGGGAGAAACCCTTCCGATGTGTGGAGTGTGGCAAAGGCTTTAGCTACAGTTCTGACTGTATTATACATCAGACTGTCCACACTTGGAAGAAACCCTATGTGTGTAATGTGTGTGGGAAAGCCTTCAGGTTTAGCTTCCAACTTAGTCAACATCAGAGTGTTCACAGTGAAGGAAAATCCTGATGAGAAGGATGTAGAAAACTCTCGAAATTAATGTTGAACTGAATCAGGTACCATGAGACTTACCCTGGTGGAAAACCCTGAGAGAGAAATGAATGTATAGCAATCTTTACATGGCAACAAATCTTTCTCATTTTACTTATTACATTTTTAAATCAGAAATGAAGACCAGTTAAAAAGTAACATTCAAAAACAAATAGGTCATTGGGTAGCAGAGAGAGGCTTGCCTACACCCAGCATCCTGGTCATGGACATATGGATAGTTGATAGCCTGACACTCGGAAAACAAACAAAAACAAATAGGTTTTTTTATACCAACAACCAATTAGAAAATATAATGGAAGAAAATATCCCATTCCCAACACCATCAAGAAAAGTAGATTTCCTAGGAATAAAATTATATGGATCACCACTGAGGGTCACAAATGGAAACAAATGGGGAGAGAGAAGCCTTGTTCTTGGATAGGAAAACTCAGATATTCACTGTACCTAAATTATTTCCCTTTCATTTTTGACAATAAGCATGCATCACTTTTGTAAAGAGGAAAAACAATAAATATTTCTTTAGAAAAGGAAAACTGTGAGTAATTTTTATTTTCATGGAATAGAGCTAACCTTTAGAAGTTTAATGAAATCATCAGATGAAACCCCACCCATGCTCAGCAAGCCCAGCCTCCAGAAACCAAATATAAGGGAAAATATAAACTGACTTCAAAAGTAAATATTTGTTTTAAATCCAAATAAAGTTAAAAGATAAAGCACAAAACTAGAACCCTTGTAAAATTGGTTATGTAAAAGTAATATGCAGAGAGGTCTTACCATTAAGAGAAACATCCTATATAATAAAAGCCTAATATGCAAATCTACTGAACAATGGAATGACTGGTCGCTATGACGTGCAGTGACCACCAGGGGGTGGTCAATGCAGCAGCTGCCCCCAGCCTGTAGGCCCCAGGCAGCCAAGGCAGGTGCCAGCGACCCCTGCTTCCCATTGCCCCACCAGTCGCCCCACAGATCAGCCCTGATTGCTGGCCAGGCCTGGGGACCCTACCCATGATGCATGTTTGTGCATCAGGCCTCTAATAATCTCAGAAAACCCAGTAAATCACACTAGCAGGCAGCTTAAAAAAGATTAAATTGATAAAGTAAGATGTTCAATCTTGGTAGTATTCCACGGAGTGGAAACTAAAACGGGTGCAAACAACCACGCACAGGAAGCCCCTGAAGCTCTCGCACAGACACGAGATGTACACACAGACCCTCCCATGGAGGCACCGATCCCTGCAGACAGACACACAGGCCACCTCCCTGCCCAGACCTCCCTCCTGCGCTCTCCAGCATGAGTGACCAGTGTTGGCTGGGCGTGCCGTCGAGGGCTTCACAGGAACTGCTCCGGTAGGAGAGCTAATGACGCGCTCCAGGACTTGAGCTGGAGTGTCCAGAAGATGCCATGCACACGTCCTCCCCTGCCCCCATGCACCTTGGAGCTGGTCATGTGGAGGCAGACCCTGGAGCCTCGGAACAGGGGTGGCAGGGCCGTTCTGACCTGCTGGCCCTGCTCTGGGAAACTCCCGGCTGAACACCGAGACCCAGAGTGCACCGAGGCATGGGGGCCATTTACTTACAGGGAAACTGAGGCCCGGAGGTGGACACTCCCTGGTCCCCAGGCGAGAGGAGAGCTGCAAGGCCATAGCTCGCTGCAACCCTCCTGGTTCCGAACGTCCTACCGATGGTTTGTGGGTGTGCGGTCAGCGGAGGTGGGGACAGGAAGCCCTGCAACTCTGGTCCCCGGCAGGCCAGCCGCAGGCTCTGCTATGGCAGCGACTAGGCAGGAACGCCAGGAGGGTCCAGTGGCTGCAGACAACCTGATCTTTTGTTGTCCGGATCTGCCTCCACGGCCGCGTGTCCTTGGTCTTCCTGCGTCTCCGGCTCCTGGGCGGCTCAGGGGTGGAGGATGGGTCCCAGGCTCATGGCCCTTCCCATGGGGGGGGGGTCCCCGAGGGCGGCAGGAGGAAGCAGGCACCCGCCCGTCCTCACGCAGCACTGTGGCCCGCCCGGAATCCCGGCCAGTGGAGTCCTTACCAGGCGGGAAGGGGCCACAGCATGGAGGCCCACCCCTCACACGTCCAGAGAAGCCAGGGTTAAAGTCCCCTCGGCCTGGGTCAGCGCGTGCTGCCCGCAGCGCAGGCGCCTCCGCCCCAGCTGTCACCCGGTCAGGGCCTCGGAGAACAGGGGCCGCCCTTCCAGGTCAGGAGGGAAAACAGAGGTTAGGGGAAACATGGCTGCCACGGGGCTCCCAGCCATTCAGGGAGGAGCCTGGTGAGAGGCCCAAGCCGGGCTGGGGTCTAAGGCGGGAGGGTGGGGAACGAGAGGATCCGCACTGCTCTGGCAGCTCTCTGCTCAGGGCGGTGGGGCGGGGGCTTCCGGCATCTCCGGGCCACACCCCCTCCTCCGGGTCCCGCTCACAGCCCACCCAC